CACTCTGGGGAGTTTGTGTGCTTTATGTTAAAAGAACAGAAAGCTTATTTGCTTTCTCACTGAGAGTTAGATGAGAAGATTGATACCACTCTCATTTCTGTAGACTAGAATTTAAGCTACAGCCAGCAGCTAGTTAGCTTAGCTTAGCATAAAGACTGGAAACAGGGACAGACCGCTAGCTTGGCTCTGTCCAAAGGTAACACAATCCCCCTATCAGCATCTCCAGAGATCACCCTATGTGTGTTTTATACATTTGCCTAATTTGCACAATGTTCAAAGTGAAGAAATTATTTCTTCTCTTGGTGCAGTCACTTCTAGTGAGAATGCCAGGAACGCCAGCAGAGGTGGTTGCCTGAAGTGTTAATTGTGCAGAAGTGTTAATTAGTGAGCTTTGGAGGTGTTGGTGAGCCTGTTTGCTTTTTCTTATTTTTGGACAGAACCAGGCGTACACACAGAGAAATAGGGGAATCATTTCTGTACGCAAAGGTACTTTTTGAAAAAAAATACCCTGTAAGGTACGAAAAAGGTCCTTAAGGTGATAACTGTGGACCTTTGCTTGATTTCAAAGGTACAAAATCATAGCTGACAGAAAGGGGTAGTCTACATAATTAAAGTTTTAACAAGCTTAAGGTAGAGGAAAATGTTACAGCAAATCAGTGATCACAAAATCTTGATTTAAACTCAGTTGATTTGAGTGATTTTGTTCATTTAATCAAGTACCTGATTGTCAGTGAAATGTCTCTACTGCCCATTACCATTACTCCCAAATTAATTTTATTTAAGTATTATCACTGTTTTATTTTCAATCTGTTTCCTCATTGCATTCCTCCATGGGGACTTTTCTGTATTTATTTAACTTTATTTTATGCCAAGGGCCTCCCTTATGAAACATCTGTGGAGTTGGGTAGTCCACTTGTAGTCGGCACTGCTGAAGCTTACAGAGTTTAAAACTTGATTTGTCCATTACAGCATTCACTTCTTATGGAAAAACATCTGAACAATACAATGAAAAGATACTAAGAAGTGTTGTAATGATGTAAACTAATTGTTATTTCTTTAAATACATTTTGGTGAATAATTGTAAATGGCCTAAAGATTAGAAAGGTGAGCTTGTGACTGGAAGGTCATCAGTTCAATCTCTGAAACTGGCAGGATAAATCAGGGTGGGGAAACTGAAGAAGCAGCACTTGGGTGCCATTGAACAAGGCCCTTACCCTAACTGCTGTACTGGGCAGCTTCCAGGTGTGAATGTGATCCGGGTGATCCTTCCTCTTAGTGAACACCGCCTGAATAAATACAGATTAATTTAAAAAAGGATATAAAGGTAAATTTTTGTCACAAGGGGTACAGAAATGTTCTTTTAGATATATGTTCAAAGGTACAGTGCCTGTATCCTGCTAGGGTACAGCTGGATCAACAGAGCATTTGTACCCCTTTAGGTCCATTCCTGTACCTTGATTTCTTAGTGTGTAATGTTTCCAGGGTTTGATGCTAAGCTAACCATCACTTGGCTGTATCTTCATATTTAACAGACACACATGAGAGTAGTATAGATATTCTCATTTATCTCTTGGAAAGAAAGTGAGCATGTTTCCATAAACTATTTCTTTATCCTGGAGTTTCAGTTGCTTTGGGAGAAAAAAAAAATTCTGCATTTCAAAATCTGTTGGCTGCCTCTTTAATGCAAAAACAAGCTAGCTGGTGTCCCGTGAAGGGCATTTTCTCTAGCTGGTATCTGGCAAATTCCTGCCTTCTCTTTGAACACATGTGACAAGCAGCGCTTTGACTCTCAGGCCAAATATCACTGATCAAATGTTTGGTGTCAGCCAAAGGGAGACAACTAGGTTACTCATATGGGGGGCACAGACCTGCTCCAAGTATGTTTAGCTAGGAAACCAACACATGTACTGTACATACTGTGGCCCTATTTTGCACTTGTAAGGTCATACTCATATGCTTCATGCATATAAACATCCAGAGTAAAATGGTGGCTCCAAAAAGGACTGGAAGTGCAGGGGTGATTGTGGCTCAGTAGGTACCCTATTGCAGGACGTTCAGTAACCGGAGGGATGGCGGTTCAGTTCCCAGTGTCCTTGATCCACTGAACCCCAAGTTACTCCCCAGGCACCCGTGGCTGCTCACTGCTCCTAGTGGGTCAAAATTAGGGACTAGTTTCAGTTTAATGTATATAAAAATACTGAGAATATGACAAAGACTGGAAGGCCCTGATTCTTCTCTCTGTCACTATGCATCCAGCATCCAGCCCATCACTGCATTCAGACAAAAGATCTCAGCTGAAAGACTGTCATTAGCCTCTGCCTCAACCCCTTATTTGTCTTCCCACACAGAAAAGTCCCTGTAAGATCTGTTGAGCAAACAACTCACAGATGCTATTTAAGCTCATGGAGTCCCTAAAAATACATTTGTGCTCGGGGCAGTGATTTTGCAACTCCGCTGATGGGAGCTTTGAGCGAGTGATCCCGCTGAACATGTCCATCAATAAGAGCAACAGCATTTGTAACATGAGGACGTGGCTTAGCTATGCACCGCCAGGCACAGTGAATGTAAACTATTCATGTCTCGAAGCATTATCTACTGCTTGCTCTGTCTTTGTGGGGTGTCTGTGGTGGTCTTAGGGTGCCGGTGATGGTCAAAGTTCAACCCCGGAGTCTTTGCTTTTTCAAAGACACTGGACTGTTCATGATGAGTGGCATGAGCAGGATAGGCTTTGAATTTCAAGAAGCTATTAAGGACGAGCATTTAACCCCGAGGTGGAAAGGAAATGATTTCAACCCCCACCTCGGTCTTCAGGTAAAGATTTTTTTTTTCCTCTCCTGGGGAAATAAACATTTACATTCCTGTGTTCAGTGTGTTAATAAAGATTAAGCTGAATTCAAGCCTGCGTGTCAGACAGCAAGTCAGGTAGTTCATTCCATACATACCTGTACTATTGTGTGGATCTCAAAGGGCATCTCCCTTAGCCCTTTGAGCTTGGCTGAGGACAGATGACATTTTCTAGGAACATTGTTATTAAGGTGGCCCTGGACAGCTTCAAAAGCGACAAGCTCAAGTCTAATGCCCTATCACTGCGGGCTAAGCTTCAAAGAACTTAATGTCTCTTACTTTAATGAAGGTATGGCATCAAAAGGAAGAGGAGTTGCTGACCCAAGCCATCAATTATACAGTAATCCAAAATTCCTTTCTCACTGTAGTGGAAACTGTTATGGTCCTAACTGAATCAATATGAAATATAGTTTATTTCTAAATGTGATAGAGTCGGCACAGAATAGGTTTTCTGTTACAGTTTGTTAGTACAGTTCATTTAATCACACATCAGGTCAGGCTGGCATTTGACCTTTTTTTGGATCCACATTTAGGTGGTGTGGAAGGCATTCATGTCTAAAGATACAATGCAGACCTTCATTAAATTGCATGAAAAAAACGATTCTCACAAAGAACAGAGGGAACTGTTATTGTTACTGGAGCCGGAAAGGAATGACATGGGTCTCATCAAGGTAAATCAGAAACAACAGCAGATTTCAATCATATGCCAGCAAAGGCCAAGAGTATAAGGGTTTCATTCCAACCAGTTGATCTCAGTTCATAAGCAGTCAGAGCTTGATTCAGATAAAACTCTTCTTGACCTTAAATGGCACATGGTTGGCAGTGCCGGGCGTCTAACTTGAAAGACTAATGCATTTCATACTTGTGACTAAATCTAAAGCTGTGAAAAAGTAGGCAAAATCCTCAACTGGTGCACAGCCGTCAACACATGGCCCACGTTCCAGCTGAAGGCCATGTACCTGTGGTCCACATGATGCGGCATGCGGGACTGCGGCATAAAGAAGAGGACTATGCCTGTATGATTATTCAGTTCTGCGAGTAATTAACAAGCACTGGAAACCAAAGTCTGGCTCATCTTTTTGATTGATTAAATTTATAACATAAAAGGGAGACCACAGCCAGCTTGAAAGGAGAGAATGGAATTTCCATGTCACTGGATATTTAGAGGAGTCATAACAAAGAGAACAATTAATATTTATTGGCAACTGGTGTAAATCAGGCTGTTCAAATTATTTGCTTTCCAGCCGAGAGATGGAGGTGGTGTTTGTGTATTGTCTGTACAATAAGTATGTAGCTGGACAGTTAGCTTAGCATAAAGACTGGAAACAAGTGAAAACAGAGTTTTAGAGGTGCTGGTGGGTAGATTTTTTTTTACCTTTGGACAGAGCCAGGCTTACCATTTTCCTGTCTTTCCAGTCTTTGTGCTAAGCTAAACTAACCGGCTGCTGGCTCCAACTATATGTGTGGTATCAATCTTCTCATCTAACTCTTGCCAAGAAAGCAAATAAATGTATTTCCCAAAATGTCAATTGAATTGAAATTTTCAGTTCAGTTCTGCAGAAATAGAAGCCAGTCCATTTTGACAACTCAGGACCAAAAGTCCAAACCAAACCAGATTTCTAGAAATCTTTATTTTGCTGCGGCTTCATGGGAAATCTGTGGAGCATGTAAAAGGTTAAAATGTTTGTATGGGTTTAAAGTTATTCATGAGTTCAAAAACTTGAAAGAACACCCTGTGTTTGTCTAACCCCAAAACCAAGATTGGACCTGCATACACCTGAGCTCAAGTGGACCACAGAAATGGGACCAAATTTTAACAGAACCTGTGATCTGAGTTTCAGTATGTGGACTTGAGTTGACAATGTCTTTCCCTTTCTGGCACTGTGCTACAAGGCTATCCTTAAAAGCCTCCAACATCGTGCACACACCCAAACACAAAACCACCAAGCATCCCTTTAACGCTGTGCGCCGCTCAGCGCGTAACGACCCGGGAGTGTGTTTCTTTAAGAATGTAAGGTGGGTGAGCCCCTTTTCCTGACGCACGATTGGTATGCAAACATAAATTTAGCAGCAACGTGTTTGCTGGGGGAACAAAATATCTGGAAGCGACCGTGAAGTGTCATGTCGTCTCCGGCAGTTTTTGGCTGACTTCTACCTTTCTCTCTCTCTCTCTCTCTCTCTCTCTCTCTCTATCTGTGTGTGTGTATGTGTGTACGCTGGAGCCGGAGCGCAGCGCGGAGAGGAGAGCAGACCTCTTTACTCCCTGAGTGACTGGACAGACCGGGACAGACGGACAGGGGAGCGGGCAATCACAGTTGTCTCTGTGCAATTTGAAATTCCATTGAATTTGATCAGCGCCAGAGAGATGACAGGGGGCTGCTTGTGGACGGCTGCACTGGTTCTTGTCGCTGTTTGTGTGGAGGTAAGCTGCGGTGGGTTCTTCAGATTGATACAAGGGTTGATTCAGTCATTTAACGTCTGTGAGGAAGGCGCGTCACTTCTGTATGAGACAGATGGGTTAGTGAAGTTGACGCACCACGAAGCCGATATTGGTTTACCCGAATAAACCACATGTTGCTTTTATTCAGTTTATTGCCTGCTGCTTTCAATTTGACCTGTCCTCTGTCTCTGAAGGGGAAAACCTCAGTTGTAACCCAAAGTGACTTTTTAAAAGTGATCATACTCTATATAATTTATTACAGGTTGCTCTCATCTTTCATATTCACACAGGACCCATTATTAGCAATGATTTGCCTTAGGCATGGCACCCAAATTAGCTGTCTTACCAGGGAACTCACTTAAATAAACATTAAAGATGATTTAGAGATTGCTTTTTTTGTGGGATGTGATGAAGTGTTCAGTAGTCCTCCAATTCCTCCACTGATGCTGAAGCAGGTTGCTGCACAGTGGGTAAGATGAGGAACAGTGTGGTATTGTTTGCAAGTTTGAAATATCTCACAACAAGCAATAATAAAGAGGGAGTTGTGTAAATGAGAGACAGTCTGAATATACACAAAAGCTCTATCAATATATGATAAAATGTATAAAATGATTTGCTGGGTAATTTCTTTAATTAACGTACTAAAACCTTGTAAAGCGGAGTCACAACCTCCCTTTACCTTGCAATGTCAAGCCTGAAACTTAACAGCATGGGTCATCTTCTGAAAGGTCAAAGTTTATCAGTCTGCTGTGTTGAACGAACTTCTAAAATCAGTGCACTCAGCTTACACTAATCACTACTGGAGCATTTTTTAAAGTGTTATCTCCTAAATGCACATGCATCACCCGCGCAGACCGAGTTGTGTAAAAGCTGACACACGCTGCACAGCGCCACAGCAAGAGCTAAGTAAGAGTTTTAAGTGGAACACAAAACAGTTGTTTGGCCCGGCAGACAGATTTCAGGTCTCAAACAGAGGGGAGGAATGCCACTGTCATCATGTGTAAATGACCGGGACAGGTGCTAATGGAACTTCAAGGTGATTTGGGCTTTAGACACCCTGGCTGCCATATAGCCCAGCTGAGCACGTCCACGCTGTAATCAGGGAATGTCTATGACAGAGAAGCACTTGAGGCTTTGCAACTCTTTCCAGGCCACTGTCCAGTGCTGGCCTGATTATGTTACAGCTTTAGGGAGGAAAATCATGAAATGGCACATTAATGGGCTTACAATGCCTATGAGCATCAGTGTGAAAGCTGCTTACGTAAGACCTTTTTGATTATGTTTGTATGCCATGATTATATGAGGAGTATAAATGATTTATTGTAGACTAGTACATTAAATTAAAACATTAATCTTAAATTTTGGACAAAATTGTATGTAGGATTTTTGTAACGTGTTACTGCTACTCCAAAAGGGTGTGTGGTTAATTCTCCCACATTAACAGAAACATTGCAAGTGCATTACAAATGATTGTACTGAACTCTGTGAGCTGTTCAGCTCAGCGTTTAGAAGTGATACGCCCTCACATTGACTTCTGTGTTACAACAAGTGGCAGTGGTTTGATTTTTTTTTGTGTCTCTGTCACATAGCCAGACTGAATAATGACTGAGTAAGTTTTTTGCTCAAGTGGTCTTGACAAACTCTCCCATCTGTGCAAGGAGTGACTGTGCAGCATGAGTCAGCACTGGACGTGTATCTGTTCACACACAGCAGAGCGACCCAGTGCTTTGCTTCAGAGACCAGGGAGAGATCAACAAGTGCTGCCTCCCGGGGTCCCTGCTATGCAGTGGCCTTTTCTTTTCATCCTTGCTCTTAGGTCAGAGTCCCTGCATTTCTTTTTAAATAAAGAATGAGACTCTATATCTGTGTGTATGGCTGTTGGAAGTTGTGTGATTTGTGTGTGTGGGCCAAATGGCCTGTGGCTCCAACCCTAAATGGAATAGACCTTCCTTTGTGGGTGACATAATGACATACCTCGAGTGATTCTTGGAGGGTCTTGTTGCTCTCACTCTATTCCCTTGATTTGTGCTGCAAAGTGGAACCTTCCAGAAACATTTTTTTGCTGGATGGGGATTTGAAGGTGGTTGTGTGTGCAGGAGGCTGTGCCCTTAAAAGACACTCAAGCATCTCTTTAAGCACCAAGGTTAGTACCCGTAAATAATGATTCGGCAACTGCCAGGGCGATGGAGCAAACCAAATCCTTTTTGCATGCTTTAATTTTTGTTCTTTTTGGCACTTGCCTCTCTGTCCCTCTTTTGATTTTGCCTTTTGTACTTCTTTTTGTAAAAGCTGGATATTTCTCAAGTGTTACATCTTAGTTTTTTTTATTTGTCTGTTTTGACAGGTAGAAATGCACCAATCCAGCTTTTTCTAGCCTGGTACCGATTCTAATTCCCAAACCACATTTATCAGCCAATAAGCACCATTAAGTTTAAAAAAAAAAAAAAATTGAAAATCAGTAAAATTTTGTGTACGACCGATACAGATATGCGTAAGCTAATGTGACATAACGTAGCTCGCCCATAGTGTTTTTTAACTCCTGTTGTTAAAAGTTATTCTTGTAGATGAGTGACCAATACGCTTAATAAGATCAGCATCTACATGCCGTCTTACAGGGACATTGAAGGACAGAGATAAAACTCAAACAAAAACAAAATAGATGTGTACTCCATTAATTTTTTTTCTCAACACAAGTTCAGGTAAATATATTAGTTTAAGCCTCCTAATAGAATTTCTGCAGATACACTGTGACAAAGATATCTCTATTGAAGTTGATGAAATGACTTTCTTTTGGCTGTTATTGGTTAACAACATGGTTTATGGCTTTTGACATATGATTGATTTCAGTCAGCTGCCAAACTTAATCACAGTGCCTGTCTGCCACACTCACTTCACTACATGCCTTTCTTCTAATTACTCAGCTGGAATTCAAAAGGAAATTAGCCACAAAAGCAACAGAATTTGATGTTTATTCAAGGAAATGGTCCCTCTCGGAGTCCTAATGCAGCCAGCAATGTATTGAAGTCCTCAGGATGGGGGAAGCTTTGGGGTCTAATGGCAGGATTAAGTGGGGTCACGGCGTGCAAGCGGTCCCAAGTGATCGTCCGTCAACAACAACATCTCTTGTTCTCCGAAACACGCTCCCCGGCTTGATTGCTTCATCATAAGGACCACAAACTATCCAATTAGCTTTCACGAGGGCCTTTGTTGTGGACGCAAGTGGAATGGGAAGTGAATTAATTTTGAGAGGGATTGGTCCCACTTGAGGAGTAAAAGGAAAGGGCTTCAGAGAACATCTGGCCAGTGATGGATGGATAGAGCAAGTTTTTGGAGTGCTTTAACAAAACCGAGTGTTTTCAGTTACGCTGCAAAAGCCTTCATACTCATCTCATTGTTCCCATCTGGCCTTAATCTGTGGAGTGAGACTGAGGGATGCTTAGTGTGGAAGTGCTGAAGTGTACAGTATGTGTGCAATGTTGCTCTCAATCCAAGGCCAAAATTCACCGGTACTCATGTTTGCATATATTGCCAAGGTACCCGCAAAATGTTTCGCTTTTCATGGAGGGCTCTTAGAGTTCCTGGCACAGTAGCAATGTTTCCTGTGTGTCCTACTCAGGTGTACCGGGATGCTGCTCTTCCAATGCTGGAAATCAAGAGCGCAGGCATTCATCCCTATATAGCCGGTCCAAGAGGAAGTAGCTTTACACCATTCTCAGTGGGCCAATGAAGGAAGAGTCCTGCAGAACAAAACAAGACATGGCAGCTTCTATTGGATGTTCAGTCCTGAAAAAGTTTTAGAAAAAAACCAATAGCTAGGCTTAGCACTCATTCCTAATTAGTTTTTTTCTTTATTGAAAGTCAGTTCAAAGAAGGAATTGTAGAAAAACAAAAACATGGCATAGCCTGAGAAGAATTAGACCTGACTAGCAGTTCTGGATGATGAGCTTGTTTCTGTTATTGTATTTTTTTGAAAATACCTATTTTTCCCAGTGATGACAGAGTGAAACTGCAGATTGCAGAGTGTTTTTGTCTTTGACTTTGGAACCTCGTTTCTAGTTATATTAATAGTCTGACATCAATGCCTATTCATTTTCTGGGGAAGAGTTTCATGTCTGTATGCTAAAAATGAAGCTAGGGCTAGGGGATCGTTAGCTTAGCTTAGCTTAAAGACTGAAAGGAAAACTGCTAGCCTGGCTCTGTCCTGTTGTTCTTTATGCTAAGCTAAGCCAATGATCCCCTGACTCCAGCTTCATATTTAGTGTACAGACACGAGAGTCGTATCGATCTTCTCATCGAATTTTTGGCAAGAAAGCGGAAAAGGGTATTTCCCAAAAGTCTTTCTTTAACATCAGGAGTTGCTTAACAAACCGGCATGTGAAAATTGCAAAGATGTGGAACAGAGAATATGGCTTTTGCCGTTTCCCTTTCAAAATCGTGTGGAACTTGATAGTGTTGTTTGCCTTTCAATCACTTGATGCCAAGTTCTAATAACATGCTGTGACTGACTGCCCAAAGCGGCCTGTGCCAGTAAATGGCATAACTCGTTGGAGTCATGTTGCTGTGTTATGCCAGAGTGTATGCAAGAGGGAATGTTGTTCAGAGTGCAATATCAAAAAGCATAATGAGTTTTTTTGATTTCATATGGCTCTCAGGAAATAGTATACGTTTTATTGTGTCACACAAGCTGCAAAAACTCCTTGATTTGATATCAGGCTGCTGTCACGCATTGATAAAGATCTGCCAGCAGATGGCAACATTACAGCAGAAGGACTTTTTGTGTCCAGTTCAGCAGTGGTGGCCTTGACATCTCCCACGCCCATCACAGATAGTCCACTCTATTGTGATTTTGCAGGTGGCTGCCCTCTGTCCCCTCTCTGTTTCCTCTGGAGCCCCTTATGAATGTATTTGTTCCTTCTCCGCGAGGTTTATTTGTCATTGCCGAGCTTGAAAGCCGTGCCTCTGGCATCCTGTTCCTCTGATGA